GCAAATTCCCAGCACAACCACAAGCCGAAAGTCGCTTTTCCATAGAAGAGACTCTGTGCCTGTCCTTTCTTACTCCAGTCTGTTTGTGTTGGCCATTGTGGCCTCCTGAGAGTGCCGCATGCTGAGTTGTGCAGTCTGGCTGGCACTCACATCAGCATCAGGGATGTAAAGGAGTTCCAGGCGCGGGATCCGCAGCAGCCTTCACATAGACACTGCAAGCGCTGAGGTTTATAACCCAGAAAATGCAGGCTCTGAAGGGCTCTATCTGGCGGGGCAGGAGGCGTGCCGCCCTGCCCAGAGCCACTTTTATGCCATTGTGCCTTTTCAGCACTGCATTAAGGCAGCCAAAGAAGGGGGATTTTTAATGGTTCCAGGGGAACAAAGCGGGAACATTAGGCCCAACTTCATTACAGAATCATCTGAAACGCTTGAGGAACGTTTCCCACTAATTATCATAAATAGCCGAAAAAAATCTTTCCCTCCCAAAGCAGGTCCCAGCTGCCCCTCTGTGTTTTCTCACCTCCACTTCCAATAGCCTGACCCTACCCTCACACAAAGGGGAGACACCATCTCTGCACACACACCCCCCCACACCCCACCCCCCCGCTCTCATGGGCTCTAAAGAAATACAAACAGGCAGCAGATTAATAGCACTTGTTTGCACCTTAAACAAACAGGCAACTTCCGCCCCTCTGGGGTCTCCCCGTGCCCAAGGAAGGATGCACCAGCTGGTTTTTCTTGCCCTTGCTCTCGTGCCCTGCCCATATCCTGGATAAAAGCATGGGCAGCACCAGGCATGAGGCAGGCAGACCAAAGATAAGAATGCTGGGAGTGCCAGCCCTGCACCCCTTTGAGCTCTATCCCCTCTGCCCGCTGCCCTCTTCCTGCCCCAGCTGCCCTGGAGGTCAGGCCCCTGCCCCAGTGGGACATGGCTGCAGCCCTTTTGCAAGAGGGTTGGGAGATGCCAAGGCCAAAGCAGATGAATGAATGTCTCAGTTCAGCTCCTTCTCTATGAGGCTTGCAGGGTTTCACAGCAAGGGGCAGCCTCACACGGCTGTGTGGATACCATGAGAGGGCACAAGAGGGATGATGTGGGTGAAGGACGGAGAGGGAGAGAGACCACCCAGAGGACACACAAAGGAGTGGTGCTGGTGTTCAAAGCCATCACCAGCATTGGGAGGGCACAGCAGCAACACTAAGCAATGACTGCCAGCCCATGGTCATCTCTGTCAAGCACAATAGGAGATGGATGAATGGATGGATGCTGGACATACCATAGCTATTCGGCTGGTCCTTAGGCTGGTACTGATCCCAGCAGATACAGCTGCTTCTGCCAGGGACTGCCCCAGCTTGGGTCCTCACCCTGCAGGTCCTGTGTGGCACATCTCACCTCTCCAGGCAGTACTGCTCCTATGGGAGCTGGTGCCAAATCAGTCCTACCTGACCCTGCCCACAGCACACAGAGCAGCCAGCCCCCAGCCCCAAACCCTGCTGGGGCATGGAGTCACAGGAGACATGTGGGCTCAAACCACACAAACAGCTGGTGAGATGCCGCTCTTGGCACAGGCATGGTACGGCACGTGTTTGGGGTCAGCACAGAAGGCAGGCACCCGGGTGGAAGCTGTGGCAGCACGGCTGTGGGCTGGGTCAGGTTCCCAGCAGCAAGCCGGCAGTGGGACCTGCCCATCAGAGGCCCAGGTTTGCTCCCTGCATGGGTTATCGTGCAGATCCCCACATGCAGGTGTTCATTGCCCCCCTTCCCATCAGCCACAAGAAAGTGCTGTAGCTCATGAGCCCCCTTCCTGCCCACGGGGCTCCCAGGGACAGGAAGGGGAACTGGAGGCAGGTGGCAGAGACAGGGGCTCCCGGCAGGGCTGATGGCCTGCGGGGTTACCTATCAGTACTGCAGAACGAGTGACAGGGCTGTGGGAACCACATCTCCTCTGCACAGAGCAGGAAGAAAGCCAGCGGCAGCCATGCAATGTTGGAGACCCCCAGTCCCAGCACCACACAAGGGCAGCACACACATGGTGCCTTGTCCCTGCTTCTAACTGGCTGTTCACCTGAGGATAACTATGAGGACCACAGTCAGTCACTGCAACTGGAAAGAGTTTTAGCGTTTCAAGCAGCCTGAAGACACCACACAGGATGCTCAACTTTTGTTTTCCAATGCAAGAACCAGTAGCATCCTGCTCAAGGAGCAGCAAGCAGAGTGAGAGCAAAGTGATGTGCTGCCTTATTTAGTGTGTGGGCAATCCTGGGTACTCCTTGCCACAGGGTGCTGCGGATGTTAAAATCTTACCTGAGCTCAGAGAAACCAGATAAATTCCCAGATTTAAAACCATCGAGCGCTGCTGAATGCAGCGGCTGTCCTGCAGGGCTGCCCAGGCTGCCTGCAGCATAGCGGGGAGGGTGTGCTGTGCACTCCTAGACACTTCTCCTGGCCATGTACCTCTCCGCTGTGAGGAAGGCTCCTCCCCTTGGCATTGCAGAAGCTGCAGCTCCGAAGCAGCAAACCTATGCTTTGGTCTCCCCGGTGCAGATCCCCCATGCTCTGCCCCATCCCTGTGTGCTCTCTGGCTGTTCTTGCTCAGCGATGAGGAAATCCAAGCATGTTTTCCCTGAGGCTGCCCAGGGACATCACTCCCAGGACACCCGGCATCCCGCCTGCTTCTCAGCCTTTCCCTCCCACGGCGAGCTAATGGGAAGAGCTGCTAATTCCTCCCAGCACAGCTGTGGCCCTCCAGGGATCAGCCCCACAGCAATGGAGGGAGACGACTCCTGCCTGTGAGCCCAGCCTGGCCCTGGGAACATGGGCGGCTGTATTTTCATTGCAAATTAGGAATCAATCATAGCAGGAAATTCCCGTGCTGAGAACACTCTGGCTATTATTATTTTACAGCACTCGGCAGTGTTCTGGGCACTTAGAAAGGCATGGCGCTATGGGGGTATTATGGGGCAAATTAGTTTTAAAAGTGGCTGTAGGAATTTTGGCCATTTGGCTTCTGGAGCGGGGTGGGCACAGGTGAAGGCTGGAGGGGCTTTGTGCTGCTTTCAGACACAGCAGCGCTCTGCAAAGAGGGAACCAGCACGCTCAGGAGAGAGCACCTCTAGCCTGACCCCAGCTTTATTAATAACAAGTAATTAATATGAGAGCGGATGTGCTTTGTGCCTCTGAAGACCTTTTAAGATGTGATTATGTTGTGCTAATCTCACCCCGAAGTACTTCCCTGTTTAGACTGCGCTGGGCCATTAAATATCTGAAAAGCCAGCAGAGACCCCCCCTCACTGCCCCGGGAAGTGCTCGGGATCTGTTCCCCAGCAGCCAGGCCCCACTTTCAAACCTTCTAAATCAAGTATAAAGCCGAGCCCATCTGGACTACCAGGAAAACACTGCCTCCCCCCATCTGCCTCTTATTACCCGCCGTGCCAGCCCGGCCCCGCTCCATCCCGCCCAGATGTGCTGCCCCGCGCTCGCCTCCCGTATTTCACAGCCGTCAGCAGGACTTCAAGGAGCAGCCGAAGGGCCTGTAACACTGCACAGGCTCTTAGCAAAGACATATATCCAGCTCCTTAACGCGTAGCTTCAGGCACATACCCTAACGAAAAGCACCTTTCCCCCACCCTTGGTCTTGCACCAGGCAGAGAGCTGGGGCACTTGGAACTTACACACCAGGAGGTTTCTGAACCGCTTCCTCTTTGCCTAGCACATGTCCAGGCTATTGATTTTCAGAGGTTCTCCTTTCTGAGACCCTCTAAAGCCAGGCAGCCCCTGTGTCCCACACCAAAGGCAGGGCAGGTGCCAGCAGCAAAGGCGAAGATTTGGAGATAGATAGATACCTGCACCCCTGTAGTGAGCAGTGTGACTAAATTTGGGAGCAGCTTGATTGGCACAGTGAAAAATCAACATTGAACCTAGAGCAAAATAACATGCAGAGACCCAAACTAAGGAACAACCCCTGTGTTCATCAGCTCAAAAGATCTCCTGTGCTAAAGCTTTCCTGTGACAGTTTCAGCACTTTCTGTGATGGCAGAAAACCCAAAGAAACAGACACTTCTGTTGAAGTTTGGCACTTTCCTGGCCCTGGCGGCAGCCCAGGACTGCGGAGGTAAAAGCACACATCAGCCCTTCAGTTATGAAGGGCATTAGCCCCTTCATCCCAAGCTTCCTGTGCCAGTTGGTGCCACGCCTGCAGTTGGGGCTCAGCATCAGGTGAAGTTATGGTATAAGAACCATGTAGCCAGCCATGTTCAAACATTACTCTCCCAGAGAGGCCAGGGCAGGCAGCATTACAAACAGATCTCAGGGGTATGAGATTTGAGAGGGGAAAGAACAGCAAGTCTATTGTATCATTATGCCGCTGTCTGCAGCAGGGTGTGCAAACCTAGTCCTACACAAGTCCCTGATGGCCAGCGCTGACTGGGGACCCTACACTCCATCAAGCAACAGGAATCTTCCATTGTAGGTCATGGCAAGAAAAGCCCTAAGATGAAAATACTCTTCTTGGTTGCCCTTCAGTGCACAGCAGAGGTGCAGGGAAGGCTTTTAATATCAGTGAGGAGGAAAGAGAGAAGACAAAGGAAGAGGTCAGAGTGTTGTGATGGACATACAGGCACTGACACATCCAGGATGTGGGGAAGAAGCCAAGGTGTAGGGCAGGAAACCTTGGGATGTCCTTCCCCAAGGACCACTTGCACCCTGCAGGTATCTGCCAGGGATGGGGAGGAGATGCAGGCAGGAGCCCCAAGGCTTCTGCGAGGAGGTCTAGCGATGTCTCCAGCTGGCCGGGTCCGGCTTGTCCAGCATTTTGGTGCGGTACCTCCAGGGCCACAGGTCACCCTGGACCCTCTGCTCCCGGTGGGTCTAGGCAGGCTGTGGCAGATACTGCTTGTGTCATGATGCCATCTAGTGTCGCTTGGCAGAAGGACCCGTGAGGCAGAAGGACCGCGCACAGAATCTCCAGGGACGCACCCCAAAACAGCCTGGGTGCTGGGACAGTCCTCATCCTATGACATAGGCACCCAGTGGCTCCAGACGGGAAAGGAGGACGACGGGCATTGCCCAGGTCATGCAGGGCAGCGAAGCTCAAAGCGGTGCCCAGGCTTGCTCGAGGGATCCTGGGGCGGCCAGGGCTTGGAGCCTCAGCAGCCTCACCGGTGGCGCTGAGCGGCCCCGGCGGCTGGTGGCCTGTTGGAGGAGAAAGGCGAGTATCCCCCAGAGCAGTGTGCAGCCTGCCTGCAGCACCAGTGCTGCCAGGCCCAGCACCAGGGACACCCGGCACTGCTGTGGGCTGGACAGCATGGACAAGCCCCAGGCGTGATGGCTGCTGGGGACCCGGGAGGGTGGCCAGGGGCTCGTGTGGTCTGGTACCGGGGGGACGGAAGGCACTGGGCATGGGATGGTGCCTGCAGTGGTGAGAGCGTTTTGAGGGGCAGTGGGAGTGGGCTGGGTGCCAGCAGTGGACAAGCCCTTCACAGTGGCATGGTCCCTCTTCCTGCCTCTTACAGGAACATGGTGGGTCAGGGTGTATGATGCTGGCAGGACCGTGCCTGGTGCAGCAGCCCTGGGCGATGGCGAGAGCGCCATAGGGAGCATTGAGATGAGGGAGATGTTGGATGTCATCCATGGGATGGTGGCTGGCCTCTCTGTGGACACCAGAACAGGAGGCATGTGTCTGGTGGTGGCTGCCAGTGGGCTGGTTGGTGCTGGTGTGGTAGCATAAGCTAGAGTGGACAATGCAGGCTCTGAGCTGGTGGTCCCAGGAGGCTGTAGCCTTATGATGGCTGGAGTTGGACGCAGGCTGAAGGCCTCCTCTGGCACAGATGGTGATGGCATGGTGATAGAAGTCTTGTGCAGCATGGTTGATGACAGGGTAGCAATGGAGACCTTTGGCAGCACAGCTGGTGATGGTGTGGTGATGGAGGTCTCAGGCAGCACCATCGATGGTGTGGTGATGGAGGTCTTGGGCACATTTGTTAATGATGGTGTGGTGAAGAAGACCTTGGGCAGCACAGCTGGTGATGATGTGGTGATGAAGGCCTTGGATGGCGTAGCTGGAGATGGAGTGGTGAAGTGTTGATATCCATCCATTGGCATGGATGGTAACATGGCAGAGGTGGCGACAGGTGACAGCATAGTTGGCAGTGTCATGACAGGAGAGGCTGCCAAGGAAAGGGTGGTTGTTGCTGCAGTGGGCAGGAAGGTTGAAATCTCTTGCAATGATGTGGAGGTGGATGGCAAAGATGCAGTAAAAAAAGATGAAATAGACTGAGTAGCTGGGCAAATTAAGTGGTCATCCCTCAGCGATGCCACTGCTTGCCCTGCCAGGTGGGGTGGACTCTTGCATGACACTTGGGTGGACAATTTGACCTTCTCACTGTTGTTTAGGATCCAGCTACGCAGGTAGCAGAGGTTGCAATCACATCTCCATGGGTTCCCACTTAGGTACACTGAGCTGAGCTTCTTCAAGGGGTCCAGAAGCCCTGGAGGAACACTCTCCAGCTGGTTCTTCCGAAGGTTGAGGGTTTTCAGATTTGGGAGAGAAGCAAAGACCTCATCATCCAGAGCAGAGAGATGATTTGTGTCCAGCTGGAGATCTGAGAGCTTGCTGAGCCCAGTGAAAGCTCCTCCTGGCAGGGCTGCTAGCTGGTTGTGGGACAAGATGAGTTTGCCAAGAGATGTGAGGTTGACGAAGATGCTGTCTGTAAGCGTGGCCAAACTGTTCCTGCCCAGGTCCAGCTCCCTCAGGTTTGCTATGGCGTCAAAAAGGCAGCAGGGGAGCTCTGTAATGCAGTTTGAACCCAGGGTGAGAAGCTTCAATTTGTTTAAGCCAAAGAAGCCCTGAGGTGGGAGAACCTGGATGAGGTTGTTGTCCAAGAGGAGTTTCTCCAGGTGAGGCAGATTCCTCAGAAGCATGGGTGGCAGCACCCTGAGCCTGTTGCTCTGCAGGTTGAGCTCCAGCAGCCCTGTCTGTCTGTCCAGCAGCCCCTCCGGGAGGTCCTGCAACTCATTCTCATAGAGCCGGAGGACTTGCAGCTGTGCAAGTTGGCTGAAGGCATCCCCATGAAGAGTCGTGATCCTGTTTCTGGCCAGGTCCAAAAACGTTAGATTGACAAGAGAATCAAAAATGCCTTCTGGAAGAGAAGGGATGGCATTGATGTGCAGGGAGAGCTCCCCCAAACTTCCCAGCCCATCAAACAGTCCTTTGGGGATGTATCTGAGGTGGCTGTCTCTCAGCTCCAGCCTCTGCAAGCTTGGGAGGTTTTGGAAAGTTCCCACAGCTAGTTCTTCTAACAAGGCACCAGAGATGTCCAAGTCCCTCAGGTTGTCCAAATTATCAAAGGCTCCAGGTTCAATTGTCTTGATCTTGTTGCCAATAAACAAAATCTTGACCAGGTTGGGCATGTACCTGAAGGCACCTTTCCTTATAGCAGTGATGCTGGTTTGCACAAAGATCATCTCAGAAATGAAGGGCTTTGCAATCTTTGGGATCTCTTTGACATCATTTTTTGTCCCTCTGTAGATCTCCTGGTAGTCTTTGGGCATTTCATATGGATCTTCATCCAGGGTTTGATCTTGGCATTTATGGAGATGGAAGGAAAGAAAGAAAAAGAAAAGGAAATGCTGGTACATTGTCCTGAAAAAGAGGTTGTAAAAACCAGTTACGAAGAAGAAAAATAAAAATCTCTTTCCACAGCTCATGAACTGTGGCACTGCACAGCTGCTCAGCTCCCGGGACTCTTCACACATCATAACTCGTGAGAAAAAGAGACACCATACAAGCCAATATGCACTGCAGTTACAAAAGTCTGCTGCTGTTGGTATCCAGGGACAGAGATGAAGGGAGAGCGTGCCAGCTCATGGCTTGGCACTGGGAGATGCTCCAGGAGGAGCAAGGGCTGGACTGTCTGTTCCCTGTCCTTCCTTCTCCCACGCCTGGCCTGTAGCTCAGCATCTGTTTGGGTGAAGAAGGCACAGTGCTGCTGCCCATTAGCACTGCCCCAGTGGGTCTGGTTACTCAGCAGGGCAACAGCCCATTCATGCAACAACAGAATCAGACAGCCCTGTGCTTGTTAATGAGGGATCAGCAAGGGTCCTGGGAGCCAGTCAACACCAGATGACCTTGTTTACTTGGAATTCCCACACTGTGCTGGATGCACTTGCTATTTCATTGGTGCTTTTCTCAGTCCAGGGGTCATTTAAAAGACAGCTTCTAAGCATCTCCTTTTCAGGATTCTTGCTAATTGCATTATATTTTGGCCTTGGTTATGCAGCTCTGTCAGATAAAAATGGTTAACTTGTGAGCAGCAACCAAGTTTTAGAGCAAGGCTCATTAAAACATTAATGAGAGTCCACAAATGTAGTCTTTAATACCCAAGATTTAGGGCTCTGACCTGCAGTTAGGAAGTGAAGTCACAGATGCACACCCACCAGTCATGTAAAGCCCATCACTTCCGTCCAGTCATTTGGAAACACTCTGCTGACACATTAGCTGGAATTTAACTGCCATGAACATCATACTGGGACTGTAGTTTCCAGCTTCACAGCCCTGGGTGGGAGCAAGGGAAGTGCTGTTGGTTGCTTCTTTGGTGTCCATCAAAGCTCACCATGCAAAAAAAAACTTGTGCTAGGAGGGTAGATTTGCTATGAAAAGCTTTTTTCTTTTTCCTAAAAATGCTGAAAGCTCAGCAAATACAGGAGGCCGAAAGCCACTGGGTTCAGAGAGAAAACAATGGGAGGTGATGTACGTGCCACCTGCCCCATGGGGCTCCTCAGGGCAGAAGATGCTGCTGACCCCTGCCCATCCTCTTGCCACGGAGACTCGGGTGCAGGAGCTGGGTCTGCAGGTGCTTAAGTGCCTGCTTCACTTCAGCTGCAGGAGCAGTGCCATAGGCTAAGTGCGCAGGTGGGGGTGGCTGGGCTGAGTGCTTGGGCATGAAAATAAGCAATTTGGAACTGCAAAGCTCTTAAAGCCCTCCCTCACCCCGTGTGGCTGCAGTGGACCTCAGTGTGGTCCTGTACTTGTGCCACCCTCCAACAGCACAGGGACACCAAGGGACAGCCCCAGCTCACAGTGCTCAAGCCTCTCCTGCTCCATGCTGCAAGGAAGCCATCAACAGCCCCCTAGAGCAACCCCTTCCAGCACAATTTAAACAGCAAAACACAGTGGTTTGCATCACTTACTTGGCTGAGCACTTGCAAATGAGTCCAGCTGCCGGAGAGACGAGTGAGGCCAGCAGACAGGGGTCCATCACCTGGCTAGCTCTTTATCCACAGCCCAGGCACAGGGCTTGGTTTCATGCGAGACACAGGGCTCAGGTCTGGGTGGGGAGATAACGGATGGCTGTGGAGAGGCAGTGGAGCTGTGCCCCCTGTGCGGGATGTTGTTGCTGAAACCCCTCAGATGGGATGGAGGCACGTACTCACTAGGCGTTATCTGCTGACACCACTTGACTCGTCACGTCCAGGGAAACCTGAAGATCTCCAGGCTAGTCTGTTTTGTAGCCGATGGCCTCTGCAGCCCAGTATATCCACCAGGATAACCCACCAGCTTCACCAGCACCACCCCCACTAACACAACAGAAAGGAGATTTCCTATTTGAAGCTCTTCTTATTAAAAATATCCTGCTGTTTCCTCCCTCAGGAATTAGTTTACATAGCTAAAGGTGCTGCTCTGAAGCCATTTATTTAAGCTTGGAGCAGGGATGACGTGTGGCAGGACAGGTACACTGACACCCAGATTCTTGGCTAAGCACTGCACCTTCACACCTTGCTGGCCTCAGGTCTGGAGCTGTGTTGTGCTCTTCTCCACCCTAGCACAAGCCAAAGACACCCAAGCCACAGTGACACCCAAGGCTCCTGGCTGGTGCAGGGCATCTTGTGGAAAGAAGCCCTGTTTGTTGCAAAGACTTAAAATTACATTGCTTCTCAATGGATAATTGCACTAATTGCATTCAAACATTTCTTCATCGGTTTCCACCTGCTCTTATTAAGGCTCAGCTGGTGCTTGCTGGGTTTCATTATACCTTTCCTGGCAGATTCAAAACCACACAAACTCCTGCATATTTTCAGCAGCCTTACCCCTTTCCAGCATCAAAGCCATGTGTGTCCAGGTCCCCACTCACTTGATGGCAGGTTACTCCATAAGCTGCAGGGTGGTGGGAACCAAGGGTGAATGAGAAAGCTCATAGTGGGAGTGACATCAGCCTCCCAATGCCTCAGCGTGGCAGCTATGCCAGAATCTGGAAAGCTGCAGCCAGCCACAACACCCCTGGTCCAGCCTGAGGTGGTCATGCAGTATCAGCTGGGAGATGGAGCGGAACAGTGGCAGTCCCCTGTGCAGACAGGCAGCAGGGTTGCCGTGCAGGACCGTGTCTGGGGGTGCAGCATTACCCACCTTCCTACCAGGAGCAAGGGGCGAGAAGTCCAGAGCACGGCCAGGATGGCAGCCAGCTGCCGGAGCAGGTCGGGCTGACACGACACGGACTCTCCTGGGAAAGGGCTGGCAGGGACGCATAGCTCCAAGCAAGGACCCCGGCTGCCCTGTCGGGGCAGGGCCGGCAGTGCTGGCTCTAAGGAGAGTGCGTGGCCGGGGCTGGCCGGGCTCTCCCGGCGCTCCGTGGTCCCGGAGCGAACACTGGCCCAGCGGCCGCAAGATGGTGCAGCAGCCTCGGGCGTGCGCCTCGCACACACGCACAAGTCAATGCACGCACAACACGCTCCTGCTCTTAGGGGAGGACCCCCCTTACCTGCCCCCCCTGCGTGGGCAGCGCCGCGGGGACTCTGCCACATCTTCATGGTCCCCGAGCCTCCCCGGTGCAGCCTCCGGGGCTGCGGGCCCAGCCCTGTCGGGGGGAGATGGGGGACCTGCCGGGGCACAACCCTGGGCTGAGCCCCCCTGCAGCCAGGCAGCCCATGCCCCTCGCTGGGCAGCACTTGTCATGTCTCCCTTGGACACCCCAAACCCATGCATGCCAGGGGGTTAGTGCCAGGCTGCAGATGGGTCTCTGCGCTGCTGAGAGAAAGGGGGGCAGGAGATGGGCCTGGAGAGCTTCAGTAGGCAGGGATGAGCATGCCAGAAAGTGGCACCTGCACCCTGCCAGGCACCTCCACCCCTGCCACACCATGCACAACCCCAGGCAAGTCCCCATTGCACCATGGCAACCTTCACCATTTCCCTCAGATATGTAGACAGAAGCAGAAGAGCAGTGTTTCCTCTCTCTGCCATAGTAACTGGTTACACAGAAATAATATATATATTTTAATTACATTTGAAATATACAGGAAGCACACAGCTGGAAGAATAAATACCACCAGCTCAGCTTTTGTGGAGAGCTCGGTGACAGCTGCTGACCATAGTAGGGGTAGCCGATCAAGACGGGGTGCTGTTTCCCAGGCTGGTTCAGAGGCTGCCAGTGCAAGAGTGGAGCAGAATCAGGCTCCTGCCCGAGCTCTAGGGCGCAGTGGGAAGACCTGGAGATGTGGCCTCATCCCTGCTCTGTGCGGTGACCAGCACATTGACCTGCAGTGTGCCACAGCGGGAGTGCAGCACCCAGGCACCCTGGTACACCGGCCCCAGCCCCGCTGCCTGCCTGGGAGGAGGAGAAGGAGGAGGAAGGTGAAGGCTGAGCTGCTGGCAGCTTGTGGCATCACAGGTCATGCTTACGGTGCCCTCGGGGTTCCTGTAGGTGCACTGCCCTGGACCGTGCTCCCCGTTCCAGCCCTCCTCCGGGGTGACACCCGGTGCTCCCGGGCACTGCAGCTGCCTGTTGGGGACCTCCAGCAGGGACCGTCCCTGGAGAGCAGCTGGGCTGGCACAGGAGGCTTGCGCATGGGTGAGGGGCTCGGCAAAGCCCTGGAGCCAGCTCAGGAGATAGGCAAGGTGGCAATCACAGACCCAGGGATTGCTGCCCAGCCCCACTCGCACCAGCTCCTCATTGGCATCAAAGAGCCCCGGAGGCAGGCGGGCCAGGCGGTTGTGGTCCAGCGCCAGGGCAGTGAGGAGGGGCAGCCCTCTCAGCAGCCCGGCCGGCAGGCTGGAGAGGTTGTTGTGGCTCAGATGCAGCGTTGCCAGCTCCGCCAGACCCTGGAAAACCCCGGCGGGAAGGTGGTCTATGGAGTTATATGACAACACCAGGGTCTGAAGCACAGACAGGTTGGCAAAGAGTCCCTGGGGCAGCATCTCCAGCCCATTGCGAGCCAGGGAAAGGTGGAGGAGGCGAGGGGTGCCGGTGAAGAGGGTGGCAGGCAGGGTGGCCAGGCGGTTGCCCTCCAAGCTGAGGACGGTGAGGTTCGGGAGACCAGTGAAGATGTCAGGGGACAGGCTGCCCAGAGCGTTGTGTTGCAGCTGCAGCCGCCGCAGCACCCCCAGCCCCGCAAAGGCGTTGGCTGGCAGCTCCTCCAGCCGGTTCCCATCCAGGTGGAGCTCGGCCAGCAGGCCCAGCGCCCCAAAAGCTCCGTGGGGCAGCCGCGCCAGCAGATTGTCACTGAGCTTGAGGAGGCGGAGGGCGGTGAGGGGCACCAGCAGCTCTGCTGGCAGCTCAGTCAGGACGTTCTGCGAGAGGTCCAGGGTCTGGAGGTGCCGGAGCGGGCGGAAGATGCCGGGGGGCAGTGCCTCGATCCTGTTCCCCGGCAAGCGCAGGTCCTGCAGGCAGCAGGCAGAGGCGAAGAGCCCTGGCTGCAGGGAGCGGAGGGCATTGGCACCCAGGGAGAGCTTGCTGAGGCTGGGCAGACCCGCCAGCAACCTGGGGCTGACTGCTGGCAAGGGGTTACCTGACACTTCCAGCTCGGTGAGGCCGGGCAGCCCCTGAAAGGCACCGTCCTCCAGGTCCTGGATGTTATTGTTGAGGAAGACCAACTTGGTGAGGGTGGTGCTGAAGCCCAGAGCCCCACTGCGGACACTTCTCAGGGCCGTCTCCACAAAGAAGAGCTGGGTGGCGTTCCCTGGCAGGCCCACTGGGATCTCCCGCATCCTCTCCTCCGAGCAGAAGACTTTGGAGGTGTCATAGCACTGGCAACTGGAGGGGCAGGGTAGGGGCAGCCCCCTCACCAGCAGGAACCCCAGTCCCAGCAGCGTGTAGACCGCCAGCCTGCACTGGAGAAGGAGCCGAGCCTCATCACCTGCCTGAGTGAGGCAGAAATCTGTACCATCAGGCCGGCACTGCTGAGGAAATGGCTTCCGCGGCCAAAAATGCAGCAGGAGCAATCTGTGGGACACTGCTGGCATGGGCAGCTGCAAGGCCATGGAGGCAGCCCTCCAGCCCCAGCTGCCTGCACCACTCAGTGCTCCCTGTGCGGGAATGGAGAGTGCTCCCCTCGCAAATCTCCCCCATGCGGTCCGTTGGGGTTCCTACCTTGAATCCCAGTCCCACTCTAGCCCACCCTGTCACAACAAGGGTGGTGCCACCCTCACCAAAGGTCCCCACATTCTTTGGGAGGAAGCATGTGAAGCACAGGGTTTGCTGCACACACTGGGTGGTGGGGATAACGCTGCAGGGCTGCCCTGCACTCAGTGACAAAATGAGCAGGCTCCACCAGCTCTATTTCTAACTGCCCATTAAGTACTTCATCCAACCTGCCTGAGGGACATTGAGTTTGATCAAATGCCTGTTCCCAGTCCATGGGATTCGCTTTTTGAGGCAGTGGCCTCCAGACCTCTGCCAGTCCATCCCTACTTTGGATACATTGCCATTGCTGCTGCATGACAGGAGATGCTGCCCAGCCCCAGCAATGCCCACATGTAGACAACACTCACAAGTGGGGCTATCCTGGGCTTAGTTGGTGCTCGACAGCAGTGTTGGCTTTTCCTTTCCACTTTCCACCATCCCACTTGTTTTCACCACAACCAACAGCGATTTCCACCTATCCCAGGCCCCCCACGCTACCCAAGTGGCATGGCCACCACTTACCGAGTGTAGCATCGTGGAGACTACCACGGAGCCCGCAGCAGGTTTGCAGGGAGGCTGCTCACCAAGATGAAACAATGTTTTCTGGGGCAGATGGGAAACCTGCAGGGAGCTGTGCCTGCTGAGGCGGAGCTGCCCCTCGCTGCTTATCGGCAACAACAACCGGCGTCCTTGGAGCGCTTCAAAAATAACCCAGCCGCAGAGGGACAGGAGGTGAGGCCAGAGTCAGCTGCCGGTGAGCATCCTGGCAGGGAAGTGGGGTCCCGGCCCCAGACATCCACTGGCCTGAGGACGGTGGCAGGGTGCTGCTGCCACAGTCGGCACTAGTCCCACACCAAGGTCAGCATGGTTGATTCCCCCTGAGATTTCCCCTAGACTTTATGAAATCTCACTGGGAAATAGTGCTAGCACCCATCTTTTGCATGAGAGAGGGGACCAGGCACAGCTTAGCAAGGCAAGGCAATGCTATGGGGAGGGGACCACCCTGGACCATCACCTTGAGATGCATCATGTGTTTTGCATCCCATGAAGTGCACCCAGCTGGCCATGGGATGGCCAGAGGGGCCTGTGGACCAGCTGGATTCCCTGGGAACTTGCAATCCGCTTAGGAGAGCAGCATACACCACCGTGAGGGCTGCCTTGCAGGGGCCTGTGTTGGAACAGGCTGGGGAGGCCGCTGCCACGGGGGCACACTGAGGGGCAGGGGAAGGGACACTTCAGCCAGGCTGATGGAGCACACAGTGAACACAGAGGAACTCAGCTGATGCAAGCCCACAGCAACCAGCTCTGAAGGGAGGCATGCGAGCTCCCACCCCTGGGGTGGCACTGAGTAAAGTGTGCAGTAGGCAGTCAGTGTCTCCATCAAGAAGCTTGCTGAGATCTCAGCTCACTCTTCAAAAGCTATTCCCCTGCTGTTGGATTGCTGAGCCCTCCTTGTCCTGCAACACAGGTTGGAGTCCAGGGACCAGCACAAGCTGTGCAATCACAGCCCACTAACCCTTTCCTAGCCCCACCAGGCTGTATGGACTTTTCCTCAATATGAAAGAAAAATCTCTTAGGAGTGAAGATCAGGCACACCTCCTGTTCCTGCTGGGTCATCGGGTCATTCCCCAGCCACGCACAGTGGAGGAGCAAATAAACCGTTCTCGGCACTGGGGATGGACAACTGTACTTTAATGGAGAGGTCACAGAGAAGCACCCAACAGCCCCGCAGCAGTCCTGTGTCTCCCACTGCCATGCAGGTCCCAGCCCAGAGGAGCATCCTAGATGTACACAAGTGTGGTGCTTCTTGTGCTTGACTTGGCTCCTGGGGCACTCATCCCATGGCAGCAACCCCCAGGCAGCCCAACACCACCAAACCATGTGCAGAGGTGAGCTGGAGCCCTCTGTGACCATGCTACATCTGGAGCAGGCAGGGTGGGCGCTGGGTGCAGCTGCTGCAGGGGCATGGTGTGGCAGCTACCTGTGAACTGCAGAGCAGCAGAGCTTGCTGACTCCCCGCTGTGCACTGCCAGCATCCCCACTGCCCGAGGGATGTGCACGCAGCAGGGCTGGGCACATAGGGGGGGGATACTCGAGGGAGGAAGAGGAAGGAGCATTGGCAGGCAGAGCAGGGCCAGGCTGTTCACTAGCTGGTGGAGGATGCACAGGGTATTGAGGCAGCGAGGACTAGGGATGGGGTGCAGCAGGAGCAGCCCCGGCACGCTCCCGCTGCCTTCGGGCATAAGGATGCAGCCCCTGCAGATACTTCACCCCCATTCTCCCACCCGGTAATTCCCCCGCCGCGGGGCACAGGAGAGGCAGCAGGAGGGGGCAGGAGGCTGTGCGGGCCAGGGAAGGTGCTGGCTGCCTGCGGGCAGGGCGGCAGCGTGGAGCGGTGCGGGTGTGCCAGCCCGGCAACAGCGCCCAGCCCGTCGGCGAGGGCACGGCAGCACCGGGTGTGCGGCTCCTGCCCGGGCGGGGGCAGAGGCTGGGGCATGGCGGGAGCAGCGGGCAGCAGGCAGTGAAACGACAGGTAGCACCAGAGGGGACAAAGCAACGTGAGGGACAAGGGAGTCCTGTTTAAGCACCATCATGAATGACCAGGCTGTGGCTCTCTGCTTGAGGGGTCCCCTCTCGGCATCGCAGCTGCTGGCCCCCGGGCAGGGGATGAGCACAGAGGCGGGAGGGGCTGGGAACAGGGCAGCCATGGGCGGTCACCCAGGTGGACACCCTACTGCAGAACAAGGGCAGGGCAAAGCAGAGCGGGACAGGGGACATGCAGCACGCACAGTGATTGTGGCCCATCCCAATTAGCAAGGGCAGCTGATGCAGAGCCACTGTCATGTCCCTTGGCCCATTGGGGAGGGAATGCCCCACCAGTACCATTACCCCAGGGTCTGTTGGGTGCTCATGCTTCATTGGGCGCCTTCATTCTCATAAGCACAACTTGGCTCTTCTTCCTGCAGCCGTAGACCACCAGCGCCACCAGAGCGGCAAGCAGGGCCGCACACACCAGCACAATGACCGCCACCACCACTCCACTCTGTGTGCTTGTCAGCCCCCACTGCCCCCTCTCCTCTTCCTCCTCCTTCTCCTCTTCCTCCTCCTTCTCCTCATCCGCCTGTGGGGAGACTGGCAGCCCCATGGGGGGCTCCGTCCAGGCACCCTCGGGTAATGCCACCTCAGAGGGGCCAGCAGGGAGCGGGGTGCTGGGACGGGGGGAGGCAGTGGAGGGCACGGGGACGAGGAGCTGGTCCTGCGGCAGCCCAGCGATGGGGGTGCCCCGCAGGGAAGGGGGCTGGGCACAGAGGGGGGGTGTCACGCCCACCTTATGGAGGTTGTCCTCCAGCCAGCCCCGCAGGGGCAGGATGCCCTCGTCACAGCGCCAGGAGTTGTTGTGCAGCTTCACCTCTTGCAAGGCAGCCAGAGGGGAGAAGATGCCGGCGGGCAGGTACTCCAGGGCATTGGAGTGCAGCTGCAGGTGCCGCAGCCCTGGGGTAGTGCTGAAGAGGCCCCGCGGCAGCATCTGCAGCTGGTTGTGGTGCAGGGAGATGTTCTGCAGCTTGGGCATCCCTTCCAGTGTCTGGGCATCCAGGCGGCGCAGGGCGTTGGAGTGCAGAGACAGCTCCAGCAGCTCTCCCAAACCCTGGAAAGCACCCCGTGCCACAGAGCGCAGCCGGTTCTTGCTGAGTACCAGGAGCTGCAGCTGGGTGAGGTTTCCAAAGACAGCAGTGGGGAGGGTAGAAAGCTCATTATCGTACAGCCACAGCTCCCGCAGGTTGGGCATGGGCCCGAAGGCACCGGGGGAGATGTCCCGCAGGCGGTTGACATGCAGGGTGATCTTAGCAAGGGCACGCAAGGGCAAGAAGACACCGCTCGGTAGGGTGACAAGGAGGTTATTGGACAGGTAGAGCTTCTGCAGGTTTCCATTGTGCACAAAGAGCTCCGGGGACAGCGTCTCCAGCTGATTCTGGTGCAGTCCTAGTTCCTGCAGCTCGGGCAGCCCATCAAAGGTGCCCACTGGGATCTGCCGGAGCCGATTCTCATAGAGCCGCAGCACCTGCAGCCGCGCCAGCCGCTCAAAGGCCCGGCGCGGCAGGTGGTCGATGTCATTCCTGGCCAGGTTGAGCTTGGTAAGGCTGGTGAGCTGGTCAAACACCCCCTCCTTCAGCTCCTGCAGGTTGTTCCCGTGCAGCTGCAGCTCCTTCAGGTTGCTCAGGTGGGAGAAGTGGGAAGGCTCGACCTGAAGGATCTGGTTGCTGGAGAGGAGTAGAGACTCCAGCTTGCCCAGGGGCTCGAAGACCTGCACGGGGAGCTCCTGCAGCTTGTTGCTGGACAGGCTGAGGTAGCGCAGGTCGGGCAGGTGCTGGAAGGCCCTGGGGCTGATGCGCGACAGGTTGTTCTTCTCGATGCGCAGCCCGATCAGTAGGGAGGCGTTGCCAAAGGATGCGTCTCCCAGCTCAGTGATGAGAGTGTTGATGATCTGCAGGGTCATGGCGTTCTCAGGAATGGGGCTGGGGACTGTAGTGATGCCAGCACCGGAGCACTCCACCTGGGCAGTGCGGACACACTGGCATTGCTCTGGGCACTGGCCACTGGCCAGCTGGATGCCCACCAGCAGCAGCAGCCACCGCTGCCAAAATCCCTGCTCCATTAGGCCTGCAGGAAAAACAAAGCAGGGGGGCTCAGCAATTCCCCAGCTCCCTGGGCCTCCACCAGGGATGGGTGCTGCTTCCTGGGAAAGGCCACCAAGGCTGTGGCCATCCTGCCCCCAGCATGGCAGCAAGGCAGAAGAGGGTGGGCAAGAAAGGCTGGGGGCAGGCAGCCAGGCAGGAGAGCAGAGCAGGACAGAGCTGGGGGCTGTCGTGCCTTTCTGCCATACCACAGCTATTAGTGGCACCACTGGCGTCTCCCTCGCTCAGCTCCTGCAGTGGCCAGGAGTGTGGTTTCCTGTTTTGTAGTGTGTGTGGTGAGCGGCTACCAGAGGTACTGGCCTGGCACCACCGAACAGCCCAGACCTTCACCAGAGCTGTCCCACAGCATCCTCAGCAGGGTGGGTCCCAGGAATGCTGCTTAGGCTCAGGAAGAAAGGCCCTCCCCAGCACACTCAAGCACCCTCCTGGCTCTAAGCTCCTCTTGTGGAGCCAAAAGCAGCACCAGCCCCCGCTGCCAGGGCATGCTTTAGCTCCAGTCCTGCAGGAGACTGGGTCAGTGGGACCCTCTGCCAGCTGCCCAGCCCAGGGTGGGTACACGGCTGGCCCTGTCTGCACCTCATCCCCAGCAGAAGGTCTCAGCCCTGGCCAATTTTGGCTGTGAGAATGGGGTGTCTGGTGTGCAGGCTGGTCCCAGAGGTAGTGCCCAAAGAAACTCTAAAGCGTAGGGAGAGTGATGGCTCTGCAGTGAGGCCCTCCATCATCCTATGAAAAGCATGGCCACTATGGACACCCTCTCCTCCCTCCTCTGGCCTGGGAGCTTTCTCCCTCCCTAGATTAAAGCAGCAGTCTTGTGCCAGGCTGTCATGGAGCAGTCCCTGCTAACAGCTTCAAGTGGCACAAGGGGTGGAGAAAACCTGTGTCCCGCCATCCCTGAGCACAGCTCAGCCAAACGGGCAAGTCCAGCAGTACAGGGGTCCAGGCACGGTGCCCCAGCTGGCACAGCACCCCGGGGTGCTGGGCCACAGCCCCTGCCCTATGCTCTGGGCTCCTTCCAGGGAACACGCTTACTCTCCGGCAGGGAGGGAGGAACCCTTCACAAGCCAGCACAGTTTATGTTTCCATATGGAAACAATCTGCATCCAAGAACAGCTTTGTTTATAGCAAGCCACTTATAAACTTCCCCAAACACTCTGCACATCAAAGCCCAGTTCATGTCACTCCCTGGTAAAGCAGCTCAGAGAGCATCCACACTGAAGCATCCTTCAGGAAAGACAGCTGAAAACAATTTGTCTCCTCTTTTCTTCTAGGGACAAAAAGCATCTTACAGACCAAGGGGCTGAATATCCCTTGCCACTCAGCCCCTCAGCATTCCACTGCTCCTAACTTCAGCCCCCCACAATCTTACTTTGCCCCCCTTAATTTTCTCTCTTGGTTATCATTTAAGGTACGTTGTCTATATAACTAATTCAGCTCCCACAGTGTCGTCTCACTTTGTTGGAGAGCCCTTGCAAGACAAACATCTCCATCAAATCAAACGATGATGAACATGCAGATCCCACCACCCCTTGGACCTCTCCCAGGAGTCCCCCTGGCCCAGGGCCACTCACAGGATCAGTAGCGAAGAGGAGACTTACCCGAGTGTCCTGCAGCCGTGAGCGCCGAGTGAGCACAGCTCTGAGCTGACAAGAGAGCCAAGTGTGGTTCATGCTTCCCCTCCCAGTATATAACCCGTCCAAATCAATGAATCAGCACAGGGGCAGTGGCGGGGTTAGGGAAAGCGCTGGAGCAGAGCTGCTTCCAACTCCTGTTTCCTCAGCAAACAGACCAAGAGTCTCGAGGATGGAGTTTTGGGTTTCCCTCTCCTGAACCCCAGTGCTCTTGTTTGAAGACAAGCAGATGGCCTCATGAACATGGGGGGCTCATGTCAGCCAGTGCGCAGATAGCAGCTCAGCCCTGGGAGCCCCTCTTGGTCCCTGGTGGGAGGGGGTGGGTGCTCCCCATCCATGACGGCAGGCAAGACAAAGCCAGGTCCCATGGCACAATCCTGCCCTTCCTAGCGCACATTCACACTGCTCTGCCTCATGGCATCACCGCGGCACATGCGCAGTGCTTGCCTCCCTAGCTATGGCTCCTGCCAGTGTCAGGACCCCCGGCCATGCCCCAGCCCAGGGCCAGCAGTGCAGGCAGCTCCCCCCCTCCGCACACTGACCATGCCTGGGGTTCACCATCCCAACCACAAACAGGCCAGGAACTCAAGCACCCACTCCAGGACTCTGTCCCACAGATACCTTGCCCAGTCCAGCCAGGGAGCGGTCACCAAACAGGGGTCAGTAGCACTGCTGGTGCCAGCCAGAGGCCAGGCTGCTCCAGAGAGCACCCACTGCCACCACCATACCTGTGGGCACCAACAGACCCCCTCAGCATGAATGGCAGGCAGCCTTTCAACCCCAAAGTGGTACGTGCTGCCATTTCCCAGGGGCTGCCATGGCTACAGCCCATGTGCTGCTCTTCATCCTCAGCAGCTCTGACACATGGGTGACACATTCCAAAACTCAGGGGTGTTCAGAAAGCAGGGTACAAGCCCATCACATCCACTTGTTCAAAGGCATCTGCTGCCACCCATGTACTGTCCCCTCCAGCCCACATGGGTGCACAGGGGTGCCTTGGGTCCCCACCACCTAGCCCACGTCACTACCCCATCACCCACTTTTCCCGGGCAGCCCTTGTCCAGCAGCTGCCAGGAACGGATATTGGGGCGGAAACAGCTATGGAAAGCCAGTGTGCGTGAATGCTTTGGGCTTCCCGGAGCCAGAGCAGCCCCGTGCTAACCACGGGGCAGCTGGAATGTCCCTGACCATGTCTAATCCCGTCTCAGCCCACCCATGTTTCCGCCGGCTGCAGCAGCCCCTGCTCACGTCCCAGCCAGCGCTAACGAGCTGCTTGTGATGGGAACAACACGGAGCTGCTGCAGAGGGGGCAGGACGCTGCCTCCATCCCCATGCAGCCCCATGTCCTGACATGCTGCAAGGGGTGGGAGAGCACAGGGCAGTGCAGGCGATGAGGCGTCCTGCTCAAGAAGGGGACCAGACCAGGATGAACAGCAGGCAAGGGATGGAGAGGGGACTTTTCAGCCAGGCTCAGAGGAAGGCAACAGGGATCATGGGAAGAGGGTAGGGAGTGGGACCTCCGCTGAAATCGACCACTGCTGATGTGGTAGATTGCATAGGGAGCCTATCTGTCATTGGACATGCCAGATGGCTATGGACCCCTTCCTGAATGGGGAGTCAGTACCAAGGCTGGGGCTGCCCCCAGCCATGCTCCCTGCCTGCTCCGGGGGCAAAGCCCAGGCATTTGGGCACAGAGAAGGGGCATTTTGGAAATACCACCCACAAGTGCTTCAGCTCACGCTCTATTGACACAGCAGATTTTCCCAGCAATGCGGTTCCCAAAATAACCTTCCCGCTTCCTTGACAGCGGTGCAGCTGGAGGTCAGGCAGCAGGCTTGGGAGCTGCCCGCTCCCTGCAGCCCTGGCACAAGAGCAGGGCTCTCATGGCCTTATCACATCCTTATCACCGCCTCTGTCTGCCCACTGCCAGCGCTGCCGGGTTCCTGCCGGCTCTGACTCATCCCAGAAGCACACAGCTTTTCAGAAAGGCAACACAGGAATTAAACCCCAGCACTTCCGAAAAACCACCCCCCCAAGCCCAGTCCGACAGAGGAACGCTGGACTCAGCTTCTTCCAAGTAGCATAGCCTGAGAAGGACAGGGATGTGGTGGTGGGTACCCTCAAACGCCCTGCCCCCAGGAAGGGGGGTGATCAGGCCATGGTTCTAATGGCCACACAGAGTGCCCAAAGCTTCAAAGAAACCCTGCCAAAATCCCAGCCGCCTCTACCCAGGCCTTGAGAGCCTGGCTCCAGCTCCTGGCTGGGAAGGAGAAGTCTGATTTCAAGACATCCCTAAAAATAAATCAAGGCTGAGTAACAGCACAATCCCGTGCACCGCACCCACAGTGGGGAGGGAGCCGCTCCCAGAGGTGAGCACACAGGCGCTTGCCCCAGGCTATGCACAGGGGAGGGAAGCAGGAGGTGTGAGAGCCTGGGACAGCCGCACAGACACGCTCTGCACATCTGGAGGGAAGAGGCAGCTCTCCGAGACAGCATGTGGATGTGATTGAGGGTAACGTAAGTGTTCTGAGGGGGAGGCTGCTCCACATAGCTGGGAGCTCGCACGGTGCTGGATGGAGCAAAGCAAGCCTTGTGCTGCAGGAAGCCCCAGGGTCCAGCAGTGCTCTGGGAACTTGCCCCACCTCCAGCCACACCAGCCAGAGGAATGCTGAGCCCCTCAGACCCCCTGTCTGAGCTCGGGACAATGTGGAGTCACTGCCATGTCCCTGCATCCCTAAGGGGATAGAGGACCCCAAGCGTGGGCATCTGCCAGACCCTGTGCCCCAGTGAGATTGGGCCAGCAGCAAAACCTGTGGTCAGGGCTGGGCTGGGGAGTGGCTCCTTCCCCCCGAGCCCCCAGCCCTCCCTGCCTGCACACACAGTGTTCTGATGCTGCTCCTCTGTCCATGGAAGAGCAGGAGAGCCCCCAGAACTTCCCGCAGGTATTTCTCTGCATGCAGCTGGGCCCACAGGAGCGCTGGAGATCCTGCGGCAAAGCGGTCCCAGCCGGAGTTACCTCTTATGCTTTGACATAATCCTGCCTGAGGCTCCTGGAGGCTGTCAGGGACAGGAACTGGCAACGCCTGGCTACGCTCTCCAACTCACTTGTACTAACAGGACTGGGTTCTCAGCCCCTCCAGGGCTCCCGTCTGTCCTATGACCATTGCACAGGCCCTGGTGCTCCCCCATGCCGAGCTCAGCCCCAAAACGCCACCATGGGAAGGTTTCAGGAGCCCCCCGACAGCAGCATCACTTATTGTCGAGGAGGTCCGCCTCACTGCCACAGGGCAGGACAGCCCGGGGTCCGTCCGCGCTGGCGCAGCTCCGGCGCATCCCTCCAGCAAAGCCGGGCTGCTCTGAATCACCGGGGGCTCGCGGCTGCTTGGAAAAACTCATGTAATCGCTAAAATTAGCAGCCTGTGGGCTGGGCTGGGCCGGGAGCCCGCAGGGCTCATCTGCTAAACAGCCGAGCACGCTCACCCAGGCCGCTGCTGCTCCCCGGCCCCTGCTCCCCCCTCCAGCTCCCGGCAGAACCGGCACCCCTGGGAGGGACGGGGTGTCCCGAGGCCCCGCAGCGCTGGACCCCCCATTGCTTTGCGCTGCTGCAAAGCGCCCGCCCTGCCATGAGGAACCCCCTCGGTGGCCCCTGGTGCTCACAGCGAGCGGCTGGCCCGGGGCACCCGGCCAGGCTCTGCTCTGCTGAAGGGAGGAGCAGGGTGTTGGCTGGGCCGGGGTCCAGGGAGGGGATCCCTGCAGTGCTCTGGTGTGGGCAGCACCTCCTGGGCGGGCCGTGCAGCAGGACACAAGCTCAGGCACAACCGAGGGGGGAAGGAAGGAGCATTAGTCAGACCCTCAGGGACCAGCTGGGTCCCACAGCACCCATAGAGAGGCAGCAGCAGCAGCCCCTTCCCCATCACACGCCCATCCTAATCCTTTGAGGAGCCCAGACCCGAGGGCTCCTCCACAGGGGCAGGGCCAAGCCTTTACAGCATTTTCAGCACCCTGTTTGAGGAACGCAGGGCCAGGGAGCCCTCACTGCTAACAGCTACACGATGCCCCATCTCCATCTGCCCCAAGGGATGGGGACATGTCCTGCCTTCCCTGGGCAAGTAAGTGCATGGGCAAGGTAAGAGCTTTTCGGAAGGAGGAGCAATCCTGGGCCCTTCAGGATGGGCAGGAAGGATAGCCTATATCCAAGCACCAGCACAAGACCCACCACAACTCTCCTGGAGCTCAAGGAAAATGACATTTAGGATCTCAAGCAGCAGCAGCAGAGCTTGCCTGGCTAGCAGAACCGTGTCCTCCAGCCTCGTCCCTGGCCCGAGAGATAGCAGGAGCACGCCGGGCTTGGCGCAGGCTCGGGGCAGCGCTAGGCTGGAAGGAATGCAGGGCCCGTGGCCAAGTCCGCCTGGAGAGATAATCCGAAGCGGAAAGAGCTTGTCAGATGGGCGCTGTGAGGGGGAGGAAGGACCGGCTGGAGCAGGAGGTGATGGTGGGGGGCTGTCCCTGCTCATGCAGTGCTGTGTGTTTGCTGGATCAGCTTCACACAGTTCTCCACCTCTGTAAAGCCATCCCTGACAGCCAGGAGGGCCCCAGGGACCCCCTTCTAACACCCCAAAGGGGAAGGGGCCCCATGGCTCCCAAGTGCCCAGGAAAATCAGGCAGAGGACTGCACAGCAGCACAGGGAGCAGCTACCAGCCATCGCTGGCTCCCTGCCCTGGGCTGTTTTCATCTAGAGGGACACAAAATCACAGCTGGAAGCCTGGCAACTCCCAGAGAAACACAACAGTCCTGAATCAGTGATTGCACAAGAGGGGCTGGGGCTGGTGGCAGCACGTCGCAGGGTGCTGCTGGAGCAGCAGCCCCATACCCTGCAATGAAGCGGGACTCATTCACCATGGACCAAGCAAGAGCCTTTGCCAAGGCTTAGCCACCCATAGACACCCAGGAGGAAAGGGGATGTGAACCCAGACTGGCTAGGAAAATGGGGCAGAACACCTCCATACCTCCAATCTCTGGCTGGAGCAGGGGCAAAGCAGGAGCTTCAGGCCTCCTGATCACTGTGAGAGCCTATAAACACTCACAAGCCCAGCCTTGTCCCATGGGTACACGCCATTGGCCTCATCTCTTCCCAGCTATTCTGTCATCCCTTGGAAATGCCGTGCTGTGATACTGTAGCTGCTGCATCAGCATCCCCAGGCGAGATGTGCTGGTTGGAAGCTTGGATGAGACATGGCCAAATCTCCATAACGTCAGGCAGAGACACAGCAGGGACATGAGCACAGGACACAGGTGCTGATGGCCTTGAAGGGTCCTGCAGCAGCTGGGAAACAGGCAGAAAGTTGCTGGCACTTACAGCAGTGGTTAATTCCCTCCTTGCCATGCTGCTCTTCAGGGGCTCTGGCCATTCAAGTCCCAACAAGCTAAGGAGAATGGCACCTGCAGTGACATCAGGCTGGAAACATGGAGCATACTCCCATGGTCTGACATGGAGGATCAAAGCTCCCACTGCTCAGGGATTTCCTAAAGCAGGAACAACTGCCACAGAAACGAGTGTTTGAGGCAACTGAGCAAGTTACTAAGACCCTTGGCTAGGCTGCATTAGTGACGTACCCCAAGCGCTACCGACTAGGATGTGGCCTCAGAGGCAGCTCCTGGACTCATGTTAATCATGACTCTTCATCCCATGCAGAAGCCAAGAGTGTGCAGCCAATCCTCTCAGCCACTGAGTGCAGATGTGCTTTGCACCCACCCTTTCTCCAACAGCAGGGATGCCCCAGACCAGGGATTACATAGCTCCAATCTTTTCCAGCCCACTGTCCCTCCAAGCCCAGCCTGGTGGGGAAGGGTGAGCAGTAGATCTTGGAGGTGTGGGCTGTGGGGACTGGGAAAAGCCTTGCCAATACACTGGTGATGGCAAGCCGTGGGAGCCTTGAGACAGCTGCAAGGCAACGCTGCCCAGAGAAGGGCTGCACTTTTCCCAAGGTGCCTCCCTGCCCACCACAGCCACTGTCACACTGACCTGGAAGACATCCTTTCTCCAGGCAAATCAGAGATGGGATATAAACAAGCATATCCTTGGATTTTCCAGGCCAAGGAGTTTTGCGGGAAGGGGTGAGCTCTGCTGGACAAGCAGCAGTGAATCAGAGGCAGCTCAGAACATGACACCTCAGAGGAAGAGTTAGTAAGAGACCCCTTATTGCTCCAGCCTTTTGTTGTCTGCTGACTTCACATCCTCATCTGGCTCAAGTGTGGGGAAAGCCCGATGACAGCATGTAGAGACAAATCATCCTCCTCTGAGCACTCAACTGCACGCAGCCATGTGCCAGAGCCACCACGTGCCAGAGCTCAGCGACTGCACAACAGGAGTCAAAGGAGCAGCGCAGAGACCCAGCTGGCCCCACTGCGGAGCTAAAGTAGCCAAAGGAGAGTTGAGGAGGATGGCAGCTGCTGCTATCCCACTGCTCTTCCGGGGGCTGGACATCAGGGGGTCATACACCCCTATGACAACCAAAGTGATGCCTTTCTTAGAAATCAGACAGTGTGCATCCAAGGGCCCATAGCCATGGGCACACTTCTTCAGCGTCTCACCCAGGCAAACAGTGACCAGCACGGTTTGCATAACAACTTCCTAAGTAGCTCAGATTATACTTGTCTCCTGCCTGCTGTGAGCAGATGCTTGCGTGGCACCAGCACAAGAGCACTGGAGCAGGCACAACACTAAGTGGTCATTACAGTTGTCCAACCAAGAGCCTAAATTCGTAACAACTGCCTCCTTTTGGGCACTAGCATGCAACCCCCATGCAAGCTGCATGTTGGGTTTGTGCTTCTCTCTTAAATATATTGCAGCAAATATTCTGGAGGTTGTGTTTATGAATCCAGTCCCAGTTTGCTTTGCTCCAGCTGTAGTGACTTGCATTTCTCTTTCTTTAGAGATAGCTTCCATTTAGCCAGGCTTGCTAAATTTTATTAAACCTCACACCAGCAAGACAACAGTTACTTAACACTACAGAAGCATACTGTCTCACTTCCTAGAAGAGGAATTCAAGTCCAGTAGCAGAGCACCCTGAAACAAAGCAGTGTGTAGAACAACACACAGCCTAG